TAGCATCCACACAGCTGCTGAATCTGCCCAGATCAAGTCTGTAATAACGCAAAATCATGACAAGATGCCAGCCGGTGTTTCTGACACAACGACGTTGCCCAGAAGATCTCTTAAAGGGAGTGAAGAAACTCCATTGGCTGAAGAAGAGCGCGTGTCTGCAGCTTAAGCACTCGAGAGTGCAGGACACATTATTCCGAAGTTAAAAGAAATCAAGATGAAACGTGTGGGTGCCTCGAGCAGGATGGTAGCGGTTGGAAAACACGTTGGCTCTTCCGCCACCTCAAGTATAGAAAGGATCCAAATTCTCCATGAGAAGGCTAACGTCGCTTCTAAAAGTTGGGGCGAGCTCGCAATAACGTTATAGCCAGATCTGATGAACTCGAGGAGGTAACCCTCATTAGAGATCATTATTTACGTCAAAAAGAAAAAGTCGACACAATCTTCTGGAAATATATCGAGCAATATAAAGCCGCTGCCCATGCAGTCAACAAGATCCACAATGATTTTGAATTTTACAATTACAAGGCCTTTATTGCACAGAACGACATCGATTCCCGCATAATGATGCGAGACGGTCTCCTCGCCGAACTTAAAAAAATCGAACAACCCACCAATGCCATCAACGATGCCGAGAACATGGAGAAACTTCAAGCCTTTCATGTCCGTTCATCTACTCTACAGAATAAGGTCAACAACGCTGAAGAAGCTGTCAGAAAAGCCGAAAAAACTGGCAAGGAAGCTCGGAAACTTGCCGGCGACTATGCGAAATTATTTCAGGAAGCTGTGCAACAACGCCAATATTATTCTGTATTAGCTCGAGTATTCGAGCCGTCAGCCATTGAAGCCTCAAGCTCGCTGGATTTTTACAATAGAGAGATTCAACGAGTTGAGATAGCCCTCTTAAACGCTCAAGCCAGTCATAATGATCGAGTCGCGGAAGCTCGTCTTGCAGATGAAGAGCTCAAGGTCGCTGAAGATGGTAAAACCACCTAATTATTGAGTTTAATCGAGGTTTTTCTGCCTCTCTGCTTCAAGATACTTTGTGATATGATTCTGAGACTCTTTGAACGAGGCAGGCTTGTTGAAGAATATATGTTTTCATACGATGTGTTAGCAAGCTGAATGTCCATGTGCGCTGGATCTTTACATTTTTCGTTGTTACATTTTGTCTGATCTATAGCTCACAGCACAGTTTTACTTCTACAACAAAAGTTTGAGGCTGATGCACAAACTTTTAATTTTATCATAACGATGTGACAGCATACCTCAGAAATTATGTTTTGTCGTTGTTGCGCAGGTATTGCACGCGTCACTGTACCCAACGACTATCTGTTAAATTCTCTCGTGCTGTTTTGAAATGTGCTAATAGATTTTTTTTGAATTAATTCATTTTCCAACCCGACATTTTTAAATACTAATGTTTTCTTGTTTTATGTTTCCATAATCGGATAAGTTTTCATGTGTTGTTCGTTCATGAGAGCCCCAAACATGAAAGTGGAGCTAACACACCGTGATCACCCGGCGAATTGAGCTTATTTTCTGGGCAAACAAAACGAAAGACTCATGCATGTGCCAGAACATTCTTCTTCAACAGTATTGAGCGCCGTCATCTCAAGAACAAATGCTTGTTGATCCTTTGCATTCCCTTGGTCTTGAAATTTGCTGCATCACGTACAAATGTAAACATCTTCGTTTCGAGCTCCTTTGATTGATTCCTTTGTGGCATCACGTACAAATGTAAACGTCTTCGTTTCGAGTTCCTTTGT